CTAGCAGCTCTGGATTTAGACACCTTCTGCCACTCCTGCATTGGAAGCGTCTCCTGTGGGGGCTGTCCAGTGGGTGACTGGGCCTGCAGAGAACTGACATAGGCATCAATTTCCTCCTCCGCATCCCTGATCCCCCTCAGCCTGGAGCTCCCTCACCTGCCCCTCCAGGGCCCTAAGTCGTGCACAGGAGGGACAGGCAAGGGGACCACCAGGCTCCACCCCCCCAGGACCCCACCGAGCGCCCCCCACAAACCGGGGGGCAAGGGGCCACCGACCCCACCATGAGCTCCGTCTGGGTGGAGGCCTCAGAAGAGCCCATGGCAGGCGGCCATGCCTGGGCCGGGCCCCTAGCACCCGTGCTCCGCGTCTGCACCATGTCTGCAGAGCTGCGCCTGGTGCTTTTGCTCGCTGGAGGTGCTGCTCTGGGCAGCTACCTCACACCCACCTTATGCAAATGCCAGCGCCGGCGCGCCCTTACAGAGCGCGCCTGTTTGTGAGCGGCTCGGGAGCACGGCTCCCTGTTGGGTGAGATAAGAGGGCTCCAGAGGGCTTCCCCTCCGGATCCACCTCAGCTGTGCTGTACCCTCTGCCCCACTTACCTTAGGGGGAACCATCTGTTGCTGCCCCTGCCACTGTCTCCTCCGCAGCTGCTGCCTTCGCCACTGAGGTAAGGTCGGTACACGTGTGGCACACATGCACCCTGCTCCCTCTGCTCCTGCTCCCCAACTGTACACTCAGTGTAATTTTCTTTCCTGCCCCTTTGGCTCCATGACATAGATTCCCTCCCGTCCCCACAGTGCCTGGGCCCCTCGCGCTCGCTATTGCATGTGTCCTTCCATCAGCCCCGTGGATCTTCCACTGGATTTCAGAGGATGGGTTTTTGAAAACCCCCTTCTTGAGTACATCTGCACTGAGCTTGACCCTAACTACTTGCTTACATCGAACTCACTAGGATCACCTGCAATACAGAGGTGATGGGCAAGCTTCAGCACAGGCCTGACAGGACCGCATGCCCCCAGACAGGCTTGACAGGACCCCAGGACTCAGGGGACATGCATGCCACCAGATCCACCCTGCTTTTGGTACCTGTCCTAGTTGGGGATTTGTGCCCATGTTGCAGTCGCATGTGCCGGATGCAGCGCAGACAAACCCAAGTGACTTGCTCTAGGTCACATAGGAAGTTTCTGATAGAAAAGGGCCCTGAGCCTAGATCTCTTAAGTCCCTGGCCAGGGCCATAGCTACAAGCCACTCTTTCTTTCCCATCACTTACGAAGCGTCCTCTGAAACTTCCCCTGCCTCTCCCTTTTTCTCTCTCCCCCTGCTGCTATTGATTTCTGCTGTGGTGTTAGCAAGCTGTGTTTGCCTGCATGAGGCAGGATGGAATAACTGTTGAACTGCATGCAGTGCCATCAGCCATTGCTAAAGCCAAACCGCATGCTGGAAGGAATTAACGTACCACCCAAGTGGTAACTATTAGGAAGAAGTTATTTCTGACCAGGCATACTCTGCCTGCTGAGGCTTTCTCCAGGGAATGTGGTTTTCCTCCAGTCAAATCCTCTTCTGTCAGGGTACTAAAGGACCACTGCCTTTTTTTTTTTTTTATCTCCTCTGATGGATTCTCTGATTGCTGAACCCCACTCTGAGAAAATGCAGGTCCATTAAATGATGGGTTTAGACGAAAAGACTGAAAGGCTGCAGTTAACATGCTGAGGTGTTTTACAAATCTTCAGTATGTCAAGGTGACCACAGGGAGCACATGCAGATGATTTTACAGAGGAGCAAGAGATGTTTGCCAAACTGTGGTGTAAGTTTGATATGCAGAGCTCAGCTTGGGGGAAGCATCCCAGCCTCACTAGCATGATAAAACCAGCCTTACTAAGCCACAATTAGGGTTCATTTGGTCTCTCTGAGACAAGCTCCCCGGTCCCATTTGAACACTAGGATGCTGGGGCACCTCTAAGTGTGAAGGAAGATGGTGGCTTTGAGGAAGGAAGTTGATGGGTTTCAGGGGCATCAACTTTTTCAGCACTCGAGATGTCTGATATTTATACAACATTCCTATTTCTAGTCCCAAAAGATTGTGCAAATAAATATTTCTAGCTGTTTTCTTAATGGAGATATGAATAGCTCAGTCACAGTGGTCTCCACTCATCTACTTGGCTAGCCATCATCAACTGGGAGTGCTTTTCAGGTATCGCAGTAGATGAGACAAGAGGCCATAAACGAGTGGCCTCAGATTCGATGTGTTGTGAGCGTTTTATGGAGAAGGGGCTTGCAACTTTGAGGGAGGGTTTCTGCAGTTCTGCAGGGATCTGTCCACAGCACATTGTAGCAGAGCAGGATTTCAGGAAGGGGCTGGGTCCAGTCCCAAAAGCTCTCAAGTCTTTCTGGTATGGGGCAGAATCGTAGCCTGGCTGGGCATAGATGAAGAGTTCCCTGGGCAAATCTGCCTCCAGTGAGAAGTTGTGCCTCTCATGGCCTGTATTTGAATCACCGAACCCTTGGGAGTGACCCAGCCAGCCTAGCCTTGGGCAGATTTGTTTAGTAACTGACTTGGTGCACTCTCAAACCGCACCCCTGGAGCATGAGGTGCCTCCTGAATCTGGGGGGGCACCTACAGAAGCCACTGACCCTGTTGGGGGGGGCACCAGCCCTACTGACAGCATCAGTGTCAGCCATCAGGGGGGTACCGGCCCCGTCAGGGGGACACGTGCGCTCCCGTGCACCCCCTAACAGTCGCCTATGCCCTGGAAGGTAAAAGTCCTTCCATAATATCTCAGCCCGAGCCATCATGACACCACAGTGCTGCATAACATGCCTTGCCCCAGTTAAAGGAAGCCAGCCCACGTTGTTACCAATGATGTCCATGGGCACTAAATGCAGAGTGCCTCGCATTTAATTCCCCTCTTGTCTCTTCTGTCTCCTTGCAGGGATCCTGTTTACGATGCTGGTATTTGGACCAGCCTGTGGATTTATCTTGGGCTCTTTCTGTACCAAAATCTACGTGGATGCTGTCTTCATTGACACAAGTAAGGAGAATTACAGTTGAGCTGCTGCTGACGAGTATTAACACTGCATTGTTATCTGCTGACATCCGCTTCTAAAACACCACCCAGTCCCTGAGTCCAACAGGACATGTGTACCCAGCAAACATCCTGTGCCAGGCAGCGACTTGCCAAACACTGCAATGCCCTGCAGAGGTTGCTTCCTAAACAAGGAGCGCAGTGTCTGGAGCTGCCTCTGCAAGGGTCTTCAGAAAGGCTCATGAGCACTAATGCTAGTTAGCCTGCCTGCCAGCCAGAGATATGGCTTTTGGTGCCACATGAACATGCTAATGGCCTAATGCTCCCTCTGATTTAGGATGTAACCTGCACGGAGCAGGGTGAGAGCAGCGTCTGCTCAGTAACCTTCTTCTGTAGGTATGGCTCCAGTGCGTAACCTTTTGTAGTAGGGCTGTGCTCCTGAGTAGGGTTCCCTTCACCTTGATGCCAGCTGAGAACAGGTAGGGATGCCTGGATGCAGTTCCCTTCTGGTTGCTGCTGAGCGTCAGCCCAGTTCTTAGCGGAGAGACACCAGCTAGCCTGCATGCAGTCTCATCAGAGGGACTGAGGACTCTCTGGGCCATGCAGAATGAACTGCCTGTTGCTACTTGCTGGTCTGTCTAGCTTAGGGTAAAGGCAGGGTACCAAGAAAGCTTCCCCTGGTGCTGTCTGGGAAACCAACCACTTCTGGGGAAAGAACAGTGCAACTGGCTTATGGCTCCCTCCCTGCACCCTACTCATGTTTCTAGCAGTTACCGATCTTATACACATGTCCGTTCATAGAGTGCTATTCATTCAGACAGCAGAGTCCTTTTTATCATGCGTTAGTGCTGTACATGAACCTGGCTCACCTCTGAGAGGAAAAAGGGGGAAGGGGGGCAATGGATAATGAAAATGTCCTTATTCCAAAGCTGAGCCATGTGAATAATTTATTATTTTGGTTGAGCATGTGAATTTAACACCCCTGAAACCAGTGAGATTACTCAGGTTAGCAGGTCTGCTTGTTTGTCAGAATGTAAATATTTGCCTGACCCAAGATTACATGGCAAGTGTAATTGGGGTGTTTGTGCTGAGCAGAAATCCTCCCAGGAATATATCATAAGTATTGCTGGGATGCCAGAAAGCCTTAGCAACAGCAAGCTGTCTTATTTGGCACTGGTGCATAATAATTAATAATTATATTACATTTTTAATTTAAAAACTGTTTGTATCAGTGACAGTATTCCACTTCCCTTCATCATTATTCAAAACAAAAATAGTTCAGATTATTTTCCTTTATTTTTCCCCACTGACAATGAACCTTAGGATGAAAAACAAGGAAGGGAAGTAATTCTCCCAAAAAGTAACTCCTCCATAGATTTGAAATTACAGATATTTCTGTTTTGAATCACTTGATTGACGCACCCTGAATGGAAGGAAAAGATTTCAGATTTTTTTCTGAGATTTCCCCACCCACACACAAAACAAGCCTGGTAAATATAATCTGCTCATTCCACTCCATAAGCCAAAGATGGACCCTCTCAGGAGGTAAGGCATGATGACAAGAAAATGGGTGTGCCCTGGGGGTGTGTCCTGGGTTTCCCAATAAGGTAGAACTGGGCAAGAAACAAAGGGGTTTTGGTCCCCTGCTCTAACCACTAAGGGTGTGCGAAGCTTTGGGTGCTGATTTAATTCGGAGGAGATTTGGCCCAATTCAGTGGCCAAATCTCCGAATCTGAATTGAATCAGGGGACCAATTAAAAGGTCTGAATTGAGTCGAAGCTCTCCGAATCGATTCAGAGAAGATTCGGAGAGCTTCAGCGATTCGGGCAGTCCTCAGTGGCTGCAGCAGAGAACTGGACCCGGATTCGGAGCTGGTAAGTAGGGGTGGGGGAGAGAAGGCTGGAGGAGGGGAGAGGGGACCATGGGGGGACCCCTGCCAGCTCGCATCCCCTGGCTGTTCCCCCCCCAGCCCCTGCCTGCTCCCCCAGCCTTTCCCATGGCTGCCCTGCCCACCCCAGCTCCAGCCCTTTAAAAAAACAAACAAACCCAGGAGGCCCCCAGGATCCCAGGTGAGGCTGCCAGAGCCAGCATAGGGCTAACCCCAGCATCCCCTACCCCACCTGGGGCAACCTGCCCCATGCCAGAGGGCACATGGCACAAGCATTCCCTGGGGACAAGTCGCATGAGCACAAGGTGTGCCGCTGTTTCTTGTCTCCAGGAAAGCAAACATCCTCGCTCATGTGGATGTGGCCATTCTGGTCTTACGGCAGGAAAAGAGAAAAACAAAGTGCATTAAAAAGAAGTTAGGAAGGAGAATGCTGTTCTCTTTGCAGACCCACAGTCTGATCTGGTGTGGCAGCTCCCTGTCAAAATGTTTCCAAGCTGTCTTTATGGCCTGGTTAAATGTTCATAAATAAATGGATAAGCTCTTACCAGAAGGGAAGAAACCTTTGGTTTTAATGTTAATGTTCACTGCAAATGTAACTCTTTTGTCAGCAGAGGGCACCATAAACCAACCTACAGGCATCTCCAGTGTCTTGATGGCTTGGTATAGATTGTAAATCTGATGCTTCATCTCATTTGTAAAACTTTTCCCTCTTGCCCTCAGCTGCTTTTGTCTCTAGTACTATCTCATCCCAATGGGGTCCAGGACCAGGGCCTCTCATCTTGCTTCAGGGCACTGGGTAGTCCCCTCTGGGCCAGTGTACCATGGGTCTGCGACATTGCAACGCTCCTTTGCAACATCAGGCCTGTGTTTAAATGGTTCTGTGTATATTCTGCAAAGGTTGGGACAGCTCTGTGGAACAGAGCAGCTTCCCTCCGTTGGTCTCGCATGCACAGACATCACGATAACAACCTGAATGCTTAATGAGCATAGCAGAACTGGCCGCCCAACTTCCCTGCCAGAAGGACTTGATTCAAATACCTGATGGCTCTTTATATTCTTTATATAGCAGTAGTTCAGGCCTCATCCCAAACTTTCCCCCAACTGACCTACCTGTAAATGGGTACCTAGCAGTTGCATGCAACACTACCATCATCTCTCCCTTGTGTGATGCTGGCTATCGAGGCAGGCAGGCTATAACCATGCTAGAGCAATGGGCTGAAAGGCTTGCGTCAGCTTCTTACTTTTGGGGCTGTTTCATCCATTGGCTTCCACGGAGGTACAGTGGGGACGGATTGTAGGCAAATCACTGCAACCTTCACTGAACCACGTGCACATCAGGCCACTGGGTATAACTCAGTGAGTGGAGTCACTGCGCTGAAACCAAACACATCTAGCCTCTTCCTAGTACCACAGCACTGTTGAAGAGGGCGCTGGAGCATTCACTTGAGGAAGCCTTGGGTGGCTTTGTGGCGCAGAAGTGTCTTCAGGCATGTCACTTCCTAGATCTCACCCCTCACCCCTCAGTTACTGATCCCATGTCATCATCCCCAAGGCATTGTTTGGAGATGTGCCAGATAGAAATCAACCAAGAGACCTTTATCTGGACAGCTGAACCTGTGTTGACTGCTTCCAGCCAGACGTTGATCTGCACTCATGTCTTAAGGCAGGACTGATACAGTAAGCAGTGATAGCACAATCCTGCCAGTCCAGCACCCCCACCCCCGCATTTTGGGACCCTGTTGGAGACTTTCCTTCTTCCTGGCAGTAGGTGCAGCATGATGCTCAGATACCCATGAGGACAGGAATAATGGGAGCAAATCCAGTTCCCTCAAAAATGCTGCTCTCCAAAAAAATGTCTGAAAGTGATGCTGTGTTTTTCCCTAGAACCAATGGGCATTTATAGACGTGGTCCAAGAAGCAGTGAGGATGGTTTAATTAGCACAGCTAATTAAAAGTGCTCAGAGCATCACATGTATCAGCATCCCCATGCTGAAAAATGTCAGTGGGGTGCTTTGAACTAAAGCTCATCGTCGAACAAGCTTCAGTTTAAAGCACTCTGCTGCCATTTTTCAGTACGGGGACGCTGATACATGTGGTGCTGCAATCTGCTGGAGCGTGGTAATTACCGTGCTCCAGCAGACTCCATTAATTGAGTCTGCGCTGACGCACTGTAATTACAGTGGGTTGGAGCAGCTGCCCTGCGTGTGTATAGGAGCCCAAAAAGTTTCCTTCTTGAGAGACGACCTGGTTACTTCATGTCAGCCATGGATCTTCACAGTGACTGTAACCAGGGACAGACATTTAGAGTGGGCGTGATGGTCACCCCTGCTGTGTGCATGCTCCCCATCACAACCAATTGTGAGCTGTCACGTGCATGGCACATGCTGGCCTCTTCATCCCAGGGGACCTTCCATCACTTCACTCTTCCTCACAATTTCTCATCAGGCACAGATTTTATCCTTCGGAATAACTCCCCAGGGTTTCTTTATTATCCTTGCAGGTCAATTTGCTGGGGGCGGGATTTTGCCACCTTTCTTCTGTCTCCTTCCTCTCTTGAGCTTCTCCCATTTTCTGGAACAGCATCTTTTCTGTCATTCACCTCCCACGGGGTCATTCCCAGCCCTCGAGTCAAATGCACATCTCAGATGAGCTTGAGCAGAAGCCATGCATATGAATTAAGGACTCTAGAGACTACATTCATCACTCAGTCTGAGCAAAAGAACAGGCAGAGCTGCGTTTCCCCAGCCCTTGCTGTACATAGCCCTACGTAAAGAGCCTGCCATGCGTCTAGCCAGTGTTCCCGTTCCACTGTACGCCGTTGGCTTCCTTTCAGAGACATTTTCCCAGTCTTCCCTTTGTATAAAGCCAAGCAACAGGGGAGATTCAGCTAAGCATTTGCAACAGAGGGCTGGTGCATGTCGTTACACTAGACTAAAAATAAAGACTCTCCCCTGGTGAGCTCTGCTAATTTGTTTGGGTAGACAGCGCCTGCTGCACACACAAGTGTCCTGCTGTGCTTTGTCCGGCAGGGGGCAGAGGGACCCCGATAGACACATTTCCTCCTTCTTCTTTCCCTTCTGTTGTTTCTCCATTGCCCCAAACCAACCCAAAGCAAATGACACAGGCACAGCCATGGTGGCAGGGTTTCTTCTAAGGTAGCAAGCGACAACCTCTGTCCTGTGGGATGGGGATCACTATTAATAAAAGGAAAACTGGGTGTTTAGCCCATATCTGGGTTTGAAATAGTCCGGGAAGATGCTGAATGCTACCAGTTCATAGCCACGTAGCATTTCTCAAGGCAGGTGCTGCAGTGGGACTTGGGAGCCAGGGTTTCACATCCTTGCCCAAGTACCGGGTTATAGGCTAATTGCTGTTAATGAAGCCAGACAAGATACTGGCTGGAAATAGCTGGGGGAGCTGAGGAGGGAAGGCATGTTTTTCCCATACACTCGTATGCTTGCAGACCCGGAGAGCTGAGCTGCCTTGTGCTGCATTGTGTGAGCTCTGAGGGGATGGCATAAAATATAGCATTGCCTCAGCAACAGGCAGCAGTGCTGACTCTGGGTGGTGGCAGGTGAGAGAGAACAAGGCCACGTCTTGCTCATCTAGTGTTGTCATTTGTACTGAGTTCAGGACCCTGTTGTGCCAGATCCCATCCATGCACTGAGTGAGACTGTCACTAAACGTAAGGGACAAAGGGCAGGAGAGCAGTTGTTGAGCTGCAGAGTGACTCACCCAAGGTCACATAGTAGCTCAGTGGCAGAGATCAGATCTTCTGCTTCCCAAGCCAGTGCTCTATCCAGTGGCACCTCTCCTGGTCTCCTGACTGCTTTCACTGTTCGTGCCCCACAGTGATATCTGAGCAAAAACTCTAGGAAGTAACATGAGAAGTTGCTGAACCAGTTGCTTATCGTTGCTGTGAGGTGGAGACCCACAAGTGTAACAGGTAGATGTCAAAGTGTGCCATGTAGGAGGTTCTACTGCACCTAGTGTCACTAACAGGCCTCTTCAGCTCTTTAAACTCGAGAAGGACCCGAATAATCTTCTGGAAGAAGCACTTGGTTTCTTCGTTCAGGTTTCTCAGTGCTTCCTTTTATGCCTGCCCTACATGGGAATCAGGACATCCTTGTGCCTAGCACAGACACAAGTCACTTCTCACCTGCTCTGAGGGTAGGGAAAACATCTGAAAGAGAAACCCATGCTGCGAGTGAACTCTTAATACATGTCTTTCCTGCCAAGATCAATGCCCTGCTGCATGGAGCCTATGGGCAATACCACTGTTCAAACCATGAGTAATGGGGAGGAAGCCGTGTCATGTCATGAGGGAGCCATCCGTAATCTTGGGGGCAGCACTGCGTGATAGATGGCTCTTCAGATCTGATTGTCCATAAGGGATAAGCCACTGCCAGTCTGCAAGGTTGTATTACATGAAAGAGCCAGGGGCCCTTTTGAGTTGCCAGTGCGTTCACCACTCAAACATGTGGTCCCGGTCTAGCTCTCTCTACTTTCTTAATGTGCAGTGATAATGTATTTAACATCTATATTATAGGACCCTTCCCCCCACCAAGCACCTGGTTGAGTACCCCCTGTTGGCCACTGAACAGCTTGCTGTCAAGGGACCCAGACACATTATCCCAAACGTGGAGTCAAGGCTGCTCTTCAGTTTGGGGTCTGTGGACACATTGCTGGAGTGCAGACCCCTTCTTTCACTCCTCTCAGTCCGACCATCAGTCCTCAAGGGACCAGACCTGACTCCTCAGTCCCACTGTAACTCTTTCCTGGTACCTAACCATGGGTGGGAGCCTGCTGCTTTTCAGCACAGCTCTTTATGAGGGATGTGAGAGATGGGAGCAAGCATATGTACTGACACAGATAGGCTTTGTACACCGTCTCTAAGCATGCCATAGCTTCTACTTAGAGGATAACGCACAAGACTGCAGATATCATTAGGGGAAACCCAACCAGAATCCTAAATGCATAGGCCTTGATTCTAGCTCACCTTTCCCTTGGCAGTCCCTATTAAGAAAATAGGGTCAGGGGAGCCTTAGTGCCAGCAGCTGCCCCTGAGTTTTCTGGTGCATAAGCCAAGAGAGGGTATATGGCTCAGTTTCTGCCCTTTTATCACTTTCCAGTCCCATGCATCTCCCCAGCCAAAATCCATCAGGTGCCCACTGCCAAGGTGACCTTCCCCACAACAGCCCAGTACTCCTGAATAGCAGCTAGCGTGTGTTTCCATGGGCTGGAATTAACAGCTTGTCATGGTGAAGCCTAGGCCAGCACTTGAGAGCACTGTAGTCCAGGATGAAGGCAAAGGCAGGCCTTACCATCAACATGGGGTTTGCCGCCTGACGGGCATAAACAGAGTTCATCTCCTCACCCAGAATCCATAAACTGCACCCCAGGTTATCACAGGCCCCAGGGACGATCAGGCCTCCCTTGGACAAGGCACTACACAAATAGATGAGGCAAGAGATCCATAGGGGCTTCTCACATTGTCTGTCAGTGTTTCAGGACCTCCAGTGGCTACTCAGCAGAATCCCTCAAAGCTGACTTCTGGGTCCTTAACCTTTTGTGTTGCTCTCCCTCCTGCAGCATCACTGACGGGCAGTTTTGCCATTGCAGGTAAACTGGACATCACTCCCGACGACCCTCGGTGGATTGGCGCATGGTGGGGAGGCTTCCTGCTCTGTGGTGCCTTACTTTTCTTCTCGTCCCTCTTCATGTTTGGATTCCCGCAGTCCCTGTCCCCCCGGCCAGAGCATACGGTAGAAAGCGAGCAAGCCATGCTTCCCGAACGAGAATACGAGAGGCCTAAGCCAAGCAATGGCGTCCTGCGGCACCCGCTGGAGGCAGACGACAGCACAACTTGCTTCCAGCAGCTGAGAGGTGACAAGCTGCCCTGAAACGCGTTGCATTTCTGTGGGAGCCCATCCCAGGTTAACAGCTGGTTAGATGCATAATCTGGCTCTGATTTCAGTTACCCTCATCCCCCCGATACACATTGAACATAACCCTTCTTGGGATGTCTGCCCTTGGCTTCTAATTATCTCTGACACTTTACTTATTTTAATGGGAGACATTGTTCCACTTGAGAAGGTTTAGTTTAAGTGACAAGCTGGAGGAATCCAGGCGAGGCCGTGAGAGTTAATAAAGGGGAAGGGGGAAGAATGGAAATCAGAGCAGCTGAGAGACCTTCTCCCAGGGTCTTTGTGAACCTCTTCTGCGTAATCTGCTGCCTCGTAGCTTGGGTATGGCTGCAGGTCACACAATCGTGGGGCAAAAAAGAAACACGGCCAATTCAAGGGGGTTGAGAGATCTCTTCTGAGAGAGTTGTGGCAGGCCAGTGCAATCCCAGGCTCCTGGGTGTAAAGGAGCATGCTTTGGTCATTAGAACAGCAAAATGCAAGAGCAGCAGACCAGACTGTCTTGAGAAGAAGGCTGTTAGAAGAGACAAAGCCTGATAACAACCTAGAACAGTGTTTCTCAACCTTTTAAGTAGCAAGTACGCCCTAACTTGTGAAAATTTTAATAAGTACCCCAACACTCAATTTTCCAGGGGATTTTATATTTACAGACTAATGTGTGCCATATGTTGGAAGAAGGGCTGTGTATATAAGGCCGTGATATGACAGATGTCTGATCTGGTGTGGGTTGGGTTGCCACCTTTTACACCAGGGGTGCACAACTCGAGTATGTACCTGGGCTAGAGGTGATGTTGCCCAAAGCTAGGAGGGCTGAACGCCAAATTATTACTGGAGAATTTAAAGCACCGTGCAGTGTGTGGCGTACTACATTTTTTGCCATAGTGTTGAGAGGAGGAAGGGGTGAGAGAGGGGAAAAGAGGGTGAGAGAGGGAAAGGAAAAGAGGGCAATAGAGAGAGAGTGTTAGGGTACCCACATACCCCCTGCCTGTGTCTCACGTAAGGGGTACACGTACCACAGGTTGAGAAACTATGACCTAGAATAGGGATAGGGCCTGTTGGGAGCTAGGTGGCCAACAGCATGTTAGAATAGCATCCTCTGGGCCAGTTCTCAGCTGATGGAGGTCAGTTATGTACATCTCGTGTACTCCAGAAACCTTTAGGGGAGAGGAGATGTTTGTAGGCCATCTAGTCACTTCCCCCACCCTGCCTCTGTAGCAGGGCTGGTGTTGCTGTCTCTAAAGCATCACAATAAATGAGAACCAAATAACTAAATCCTTTGCCACTTAATTGACTTAATTGGGGATTGAATGATGTGTCTGAGGGGAAGAGAAACAATAAATGTGTAAAGATTTTGCAGGAGAAATGCTTTGAATGATTAATGCTGTTGCGGTTTAGGAGAAGGTCAGAGATATGTGGCAAGCTGAATTGATCAGCATCTTCTCTTTCTCAATATGCCTTTCTAATTTGAATTGTTTCCTGGACTATGAGAGACAGCTCAGCGAGCAGGTCCCCCTACCTTTGATTATAGTCCTTCCTCCCATTCATCCATCTGTCTGTCTAGATAATTATATGATTGTCTTCATCAAAGTATCTGAATGCCTATATCTGAGCATTATGTTCTGTGATGGGCAGAAGAGGTTCAGACCAAAGGAGTTCTTGCTAATTTTCAGAAGTGAACGGTTGTAACATATAATGCAATTTATCTGCTGCATCAGGTGGAAGGGATTTTGCATAATCATAATGTCAAACAGAGTCCGTTATTCCTGAGTTAGTCACCTTGCAGCCTAGATACGGTGTATGCTGAGAGGGAGTCTATTACCCCTTCATGCGTGTGTGTGTGTGCATGTGTGGGTGTACACATGTCTGTTGAAGAGGCTGATATCTGTTTGGTTAATAGTGCAGCAAGGACAGATGAGGATAGGTCATTCCTGGAGGTTTCCACTGCAGTCCACAGGGCAACACAAGGGTGAATTTGGATGTGCTTAGTCTGTTTTTGAGGGTGAGTAAAGTGTCATTCTTGCCAATAGTTGTAAGGTATAAATAGGGACAAACATAGTAGCAATATGCCTTTAAACTCCATTGGCTAAAGATTGTTTGGGGAGTGGGCAGGCAATTGGTCCTTTTTTGCTTAAAGAAAGGAATCATTGATATATAGAAACTGCGTGTGCGCATTTGTATCCATGGGGCTGGGGTATGTGTTTATTTGTGAACTGGCCTACGTGGGGAGGGGAGGGGCAGAGGGTATATGTGCGTGCATGCAGAGGTATGCACACATGTCTTTCATTGCACTGGGCTGCTGTACAGATTTGTGTAAATCTGTGGTTTTCAATCTTTTCAGGCTTGAGGACCCTTAGGAAAATGCCAGCTTTTAGCTTTCACTTTTTTTTTATTATAGAAAAATAACAGAGCAATTCTTTTGTTACAAGGAACCCAGAAAGACCGCGACAGGTCAGAATGGTTTTAACTCTGTGGATGCCTATTTGAAATCTTTGGGTTTATCTTGTGAATCATGTTTGCGCACCCAACAGTGCTAACATTGTGTGGCATCCCTCAGAACCCTTGAAAGGATCGCGAGGCTCCCCGGGGTGCAACAGCACCGGGTTGAGAGTCATTGGTGTGAGTGTTGTGTCTGAGCTGAGTGAGTTGAGTGTGTGTATTTTTTCTAAGTGCATCTCTATAAATATATAGGATTGTGGTGTTTATGGTGTCATGTGTGTATGGTATGTGGATGGATGCTGGTTCCTCTGGGGACATGGTACATGAATTGTATATATATGATATAGATATGGGTGTCAAATTGAAATTGCTTTTGGCTTGGGCCACTTCTTCTCCAGCCTGTCCCTGGCCTTCCAGATCTGATCAGACATTGAAAGGTTGTATTCCTTTAAGACAAATGTTCCCAGCTGTTTCCTTTCTGCCAGCCACCAGCACTTTGTGGTCTGGGATTATTGGAGGATGCTCGGAGATGTGCCAAGCTTTTCTGGGGTGCTGTTAGATGCAGGATTGTATTGTAAGTCTCCCTGGCTCTCTACAAGCCTTAGTGCTGGGAAGGGATGTGACTCTAATATAAAAGCGACCAACTCAAAGCCTTGGAGATGCCTTTTACAGCTCTGCCAAAGTCTAAATAGGAGGGAGGTACTGCCCTGTGGGAAGCTGTGGCATCTTTCCCCAGGGGTGTTTTCATGCCAAGAAGAGAAGGACCCTTAAGAGGAGTTTGAAAGTTGAAATGAAAGCTGGGCCTTTGAACAGCAGAAGGAGAAGCAGCAATCAAAGACACCAAGTCACCTCACTTCTAAGGCTGTCACACTGCCCACGCAGCTCTTCCTCTGAGAAGGAAACGGCAGCACTTGCAACAAAAGGGACTGACCAACCCCAAGCACAAGCCCCAGACCTTGGGGTGTATGCAGCGATTAGGAGCAGGCGTAGGAGGATGCCTGGGGCAGAAGGGAGTTCTGGAGCCAGCTCTGTTCATTGTCCTGCAGAGTCCGGGAGGCAGCAATATCAAACAGGTGATTTTTGCCTACATTGCATCTGCCTCCCTATAGATGCCAGACTGACCCAGGTCACACAGCAAGCCTGTGTTGCAGCAGGGAATTGAACCTCTCTTCTCTTTTCTGTTTACATGACCCAGGATAGTGCCATTGCAGGCCATCTTTTCCAGCGCAGCTTGGAGTGAGGAGCAGGTGCCCTAACACCACTACACCTGGGACCAAAAGACAGCAGTCTCTGTCTTTTTTGTGCTGCTTGCATGTTCTGAATAGGTTTCAGGGTGGAGGGAAATGAAGGGCTCACAGCTGGCTTACACCTAAGAAATGGGGCTAGGAAATGCTGCACACAGTTCTCCCAAGCTATTCTGCACTCTCCTCGGCTGTGCCAGCTGTGGGCTCCCTATCCCCAGCTTTATGAATGCACTGGCCAGTGCCCCTGCCTTGGAAACCACTCAGTCTTGCCCTGGGGCGCCCTGGAGCAGTGGACAACTCTGCCAGGGTTTTTGTCCTCCTCAGCCCTGCAAATCTTTTCCTGGGGTCACCAGGTTCCCTCAGCTGAACATTGACCTGCAGCAACGCATGCTGTTTACCCGTAGCCCCCTTCTGATCTCCTAATCGAGCTGGTGGGAAACCTTTTTCAAAATGATTTTTCATTAGACTGTGCCATTTGTCTGAATTGAGGCTGTTCAACTAGGAGGCCAAGGTGGATAAATGTTGCTTCAAGGAAACGTTTGCTTTCCTTCTGTGTCAACACGAAAAGGATTTGCTGTGCAATGAAATATGCACCCCCCCCACCCCAAGCCCACCTGCATGTAAGAGCTTTGCATAAGGCAATAGTTCTCAACCTTTATACACTTAGGGCGCCTCTCAGAAAATGCCAGCTCTTGCTTCCACTCAGGTTTTTTGTGTATGGAAAAATGGTAGTGTAATTTTTCTGCTGCAAAGAACTCAAACAGACCACAGCAGGTCAGCATGTGTGTGACACTGCAGATTTCTTTCCAAGTCATCTGAGTCCTGTGTAGGTGTTTGCACACCTAACAGTGCTAATATTGTGCAGCACCCTAAACAGGATCTCCTGGCACCCTGATCGAGAATCGCTGGTATCAGAGCTTGCATCTGCATAGAACAGCTGCCTGCTTCCCTGTCTGAGCCCTTCCTCCCTGCTCTGGGCACCACCAAACCTTCTGAGTGATGCATCCATTTTTTTCCCCTTCCCTAAGAAAAGAAACCTATTGCCTTCCAAGTGGATTCCAGGCAATTAAAGGGCCATACTCCACAGTGGGACGTAATAGTAATCATCATCATTAAGAATTACCATGTAGAGTGGTTTTCAGCTTCAAAGCACTAACTAATCATTAGTGCAAACCCTTTCCGATGGCTTGGTGAGTGGGGGCGGGGTGACTGCACACAGTCAACAAGCAGCACATCCATCCCACCTGCAGGCTTGGTGCAACTGCTGCCTCCAGGGATGTGC